AAACTTTGTAATAAAAAAAAAAGTTCCAAGGGTTCTTCTGAACACAGTGATTGACTGTGTTCACATTTAAATCCATGCCACTCTGCAACTTAAAATACTTCAATGGCACCAACTACCTATAGGATCCAATTGCAAAACAGTAATTTCACCAAGGATAGACTGTCAGACAGACCTCTACATTTCCAAGTTCAGTATAGTTCTTATAAGTAATTATTAATCATTCAAGAAATGGGGTTTAAGTTAATAAATTTGCTACACCCACATGTACTCAGGTGAAATAGGCATTTTTTTCCAAAGACTGCTTCATAGTCAAAAGGATGGTGTGTGTGTGCATAGATATTTTTCTCTTTGTCACGCTTTTAGAGATCTGTCAAAGCTATTACAGTTACCTTCCACAGGCAGTCGCCGTCGTATGGCCAGACGTTCTATTTTCCTCTGTGTTTCTGCCAGACTGAAAAGGACTCCATACACATACTGACGAGCTGACCGGAATAGGAGAGTAGCTGGAGGCAACTCCATGTTACACTCATCCTCAATACATACGGGGATCTTAATCTCACCCTAACAAGAAAATGTATCAAGGGAAAGAAGAAAATAAGTTACCTCAAGGTTTTGGAAATGAAGTGAAGAGAATCAGTAATACTTATAGCCTAGCTGCTAAATTTTCTATTTGTATTTACACAGTTTCTGACTAAAAAGAAGATTTAACAAACCTGGCTGACCACAGCCAACTTACAATTATTCTATTTTAAAAGTCTTTTGTATGACTGATTACAGCAGACTAAACGGGGAAGTTCATCTTTGACATTTAACTCAGGGATGAATTTATATGGCGAGACTAGAGGAGGGGAACAGCTCAGAAGAAGAGGTGCAAAACAAGGACATAAAGACTCTTATAGTTCCTGTCCACCCTAGACAATATTGCAACAACTTGGTGCAATATCTTCTTTAAAATCTTACAATTCTTCTTCTAGGGGCCCGAGTACATTTGGTCTTCTTTTATCTCCAATCAGATACCAACAATACGAATCTTCTCTAGTAACTTACAGTTCTAGGAAGTTTAAGTTTGAAGTACAATGTTAAGAGCTGGGAGGTGGGTACCAACGTGCTCTCTCACCTTAGTGAGGACATGGTAGATGTAGGGGTACATAAGACCCCTTCGGTGTCTATGTTCAGCAACCCGCAAGACTTCGGGTGCTACTGGAGGTAAGGGTGGAATGGTGATGTCCATGTGGTTCCTTGTAGACATAGACAGCAGAGATGGGATATGGGGTTCACCATCACCCAGGTTGACATCTGAAACTCCAGCATCAATGGGATGTACCCAGGATCCTCTAACACCATTTGGATCCTCCCATCCAGGTTGTTGCTGAAGTGTTTCTGTGAGGTGACTAAAAAAATTCAGAAACACAGTGTAGAAGAGAGAAAGGAAGAGAGAAATGTATTCCAATTCAGTATGTCTATTCTGACTCTAAGGAATTTCACAAGCTCTCTGAAAGTTAGAACACTGGGTTAGTACTGAACGTGACACCTGTCCTCTTGGTGGCCATCACTGTCCTCATGGCTTCTTTTATCTGACACAAATCAAAGTGATCAAAAGTCATGGGGACCATTCTGAATCCTTTCCACCTTGCAAGAGGTCATGTTTAAGAGTCTGCTTATGTTCTAAGAAAACAATTACAATTGAAACTTCCAAGCAATTCTCTTTCCCAAGAATAATATGCTTGGAAGAATTACCTAAGAACAAATGAGCTAGTACAATATTCCAGTATTTTAATTCTCAGAATCCTTAGTTACTAAGCAATACAATTGTTTCAGTACTTGAACTCTTTAAATTCTTTTCATTTTTATAGTCAATCTACACAAACACACACAAATTGAGAAATGATAGCTGAGATATATAACATACCCATAATAGAGTTTCCTTAATTAGCTGATATACTTCCTTTTCCCTCAGTAACCTGGGTATCTGAAAATTACTATCTATACAGGAGCAAAATGAGCATGAAATACCCAAGCATAGTTTTCCTACTTAAGAACAAAGAGCTACACATAACAGCCAGGAACATACACCTCCCTACACAAGTTACTCACAAAAGAATAGATACTTTATGAAGTCTGTTCCCCTGGTTATGTATACAGATACTTACTCAGAGATGGCTCCATTTGGCTCATCAGCATCAGAAGAAGATGAATGGGAAGAGTCTGGTGCCAAAGTAGGTGAGGCTTTAGAAGTCACATAATTGTGAAAGTGGGATGCAGAGGAGTCATAAGAGATAGTAGCCCAATTGGTAAAGTGGCTATCCTGTAGCATAGGATCCTCAGAAAAAGCATGTGATTCTCCCAAAACTTGTGGGGAGAAGAGAAGAGAAGAGTTGGGTCCAACCGGGAATGTTGGTGGGTATTTCATTTTCTGGGGCATATGGTGAGAAAACTAAAGGATAAAACAGAGAAAAAGGCTATTTAACATCTTACTAGGTTCCAAATGGTTCACTCATAAGTTGTAACACAATTGATAATACCAGTTGCAGGAACTGCTGATTTATAAAAACACCTACTGAGAATAACAAAAAATAATTCAGTGATATATGGAAAGAATCCTCCAGAGGCAGGATAATGAACCAATTCATGTCTTCTCATTGATTTCTAACATTAGCTAGTTTAACTTCACAATGCCTTACTGGTTACTGATTTGGATGTTTTCTTTACATAATTGCTCAAGCTTAGGTTGAGACCATGTCATATATATATATATATATATATATATATATATATATATATATATACACACACACACACACACACCTGACATTCTGATTATACTAAATCACTCAACTCCTTAACTCAGATTAGAAAAATCAGAAGCAACTTGAGTCTTATGCTAACAAATGTTCTTAGTTGTTTTCTAAGATAGTTACCATTGGTTTTCCAGCAGCAACAGTGCCCATTTGATTTCGTGGAAGGGGATGAGTTCCAAGTCGATTACTTCGAAAACCTGAAGCAAAGGACAAAGAGCAAGACTTTAGTAAATCCTAGTAATTTTACCATTCTGTTAACCCATTATCACCTGAAAAAATATTATTAATAGATAAATTACAATTTATTGAATAGCTACTGTGTGCCATGTCAGGAAACTTAAATAAATTGTTTCATCTGGTAGCAGCTCAGTAAAGTAGGTATTATAAGCCACATCCCATACAAATGTGATTTACCAAGATCACATAGCTAGTAAGCAACAGAAGTAGAATTCAATCTCAGGTCTGACCCCTAAAACAGGGTTATTTTACATATACCAAAACATAATGAAGGGTAGTGCCAGGAGAAGCCAAAGGAAATGGCATTAGGCTACATCTATAAACTGAAGAAATCAGGGACCTAGTTCATGTCAACTCTCTTGGTATATGAAATCAAAATGTGAATATATACCAAACAGGAATGACTTCTAGGATTGTATGATACAAAAAGTGAATCCTGAAGGGCTAACACAATTTTCTCTATGGATAGAGCAGCTTGGGATTAGATGGAAAGCTTACCTAGAAAGGAGGAGGGACCAACTGGCAGTGAAGAGAGTTTGGTTGTGACTGAATAGTATTCAACTGCTTTCTTGAATCGTTGTATTTTATCTTCTGTCCTAGACTAGATGTTGCAACATCAGGTTTTCAGAAGAAAAATCAAAGGAGATCTTGTTTTTATGCAATTCATAATTTAAGAGTTAAAACAGTAGCGGAAATAAAATATTTAAAGAAAATCAATGACAATTTTACATGGTGCAGAAAAATTAGGTAGAGAAGCATTATAAAACATCAAATCTCAACTGGAATAAGAATAGACAGACAGACCAGTGGATTCGAATAGAAAACCCAGATATAAACCCACAAGTTTATGGACACCTAATTTTTGACAAAGGAGCAAAGAAGATACAATGGAACAAAGAAAATTTGTTCAGCAAATGGTGCTG